TGAGCAAGAATTGCTGGGGGCACAGTCACACAGAAGAACTGAGACAGCAGAAGTTCCTCCTAAGCACATTCAAGATACTGAGACAGTGACAGGGCAGTCAGGGAACTATTAAGTAGATCTGCTTGATGCCACACAACCAGCCTCTAAAGAAGGTGAGAAGGCCAAAAGGGCTGTTCTCCCAATATAGCCACCGCACAGCCAGGAAGCCCAGCAGAGAGAACACTGAAGCCAGCACTACCACACAACCAGAAACATTGACTGTTGTTGCTGTTGTGTACCATCAAGTCAGAACAGACCCACAGCTGACCCTCTGGCAGGTTTTCAGAGACAGTTAATCACAGGAGATTGCCCATCCTTCTTCCGCAGAGCAGCTGGTGGACTTTGGACCGTGTGCCTTTGGGACTGCAGTGCAGCTTCTTGCCAGAGTTCCCAGGCACCTTTACAGTTCATTTCACGCCTAAAATTCAACAACTTTCGATTCACTTGGCAGTCAAAGTGGTCAGATGAAAGGCAGATGGAAGGAAAGAGAGTTCACTACTGGCCACAGGGCCCAAAATTAATTCTCCTATATTTAACTCTCCTGCTAGGTTGTTTTTAACTAGTGTCATTGCATGGCAACAGCTTTTAGAAAATTTTACACAGATTTCTGCCTCTCATAGTACATCAGACAAAAACAGGCAAGGAAGGAGAAGGTCTAAGAGTTCAGAGCCAGGATCATGCAAAAGCTATCTGGAGTGCTCTGACTTCAGCTGTCTGAGCAAATTGGCCTCAGACCATAAAACTTAAAGCAGAGGGAGGGAAAAAGGGCAGAAACCTAAAAAAAAAAAAAACTCTTAAAGCAGAAATCTTAAAACTGATCTCCTCTAACTACTCCTTATCGCCCTCTGCTGGTGAGATCTAGTACAGCCTCCTTAACCTCTGAGCCTGTTCTCTACTAAAACAGATTGAAGAACATTGGTATAATAATCATTGTAAGGAGCCCTGGTGGCACAGGAGGCTAAGTGTTGGGCTGTTAACCACAAGATTGGCAGTTGAACCCCACTTAGTTGTCTCCAGGAGAAAGAAAAAGTGTTCAGCCTTCATTAAGATCTACTGTCTTAGAAACTGACAGTGAAAGAGACTCAATAAACGAAGTATGTGGCAACACGTTTACTGCAGGACACACAGCTTGTACTAAACAAATATTTGTTAAATAAATGGTCAGAAATGCTCATCTTCAAAAGTCAGCAGTATCTCAACTAATATCCTCAGCAATCCAGTAGGAACTGTTACACAAAATTTTTTTCCCCAATTTTTTTAAAGATATCTGAGCAAAGGAGGAAACCAGACATTAACTTGTCCAATATGACACAAGCATTAAACACAACTGAATCCAGGGCTGCCTGACTGCAAAGCCTTCACTCACTTCCACCAGGCCACACGGCTTCGGGAGCACTCAGAGAACCCTCATCGAACAAAGTCCTGCCAACAGAAAGGGCACAGAGGGTTTTAGGTTCCAGTTCCCCTGAACAGTGAACTTCTGCAGGCTGGCTGGAGCTCATAAGCGATGAGCCTATCTTCACAGCAGCTCTAAATAGGAGCCATGAACACTCCCAACCTCCTCCTTCCACCAGAGCCTCTCCAAAACTACACGGCCTTCAGAGGTTCTAGGATGGGGAAGGAGCCCACAAAGGCCTGAAGGTAGGTGAGACCTCCAGGTAGAAAGGACCTGGGAAGGCTGGCTCCTTCCCTCTGGACCCCTTCATGCTTGATTATACATTCTCAGTTCAAAAGAAAAGGCTTACAACACTGAGGTCTTGGCTGCAACAAAAGGGAGCCAAGACTTAGTAAATGAGAATGTTCAGCAAGCAGGCACAAGCAAGGAGACAATCAGTGGACAAGTGGTTTTGGTTTGAGGATGCAAAGAAGAAATAGCCAGACCGAGCAACCCATGGAAGACCAAAAAGACCCAGCAAAGGAGTACAAAGGCAAATCCAGGGATCCTGGAATGTCAAGAATTTGGCTGATCAACATAGGGCACCTGGATGGCCAGGCAGCAAAGAGCTAAAATGACACAGAAGGGTCCACTGAATAGCCCGTGGGACAAAGCTTTCAAAGGGTGATGGAGGCAAGGGAAAAGGCCCAGGCTTACAGATGATTCTTCAGAGACACACCAGAAAAGCAATGGGTCACAAAGGTCAGGGGACCCAGGCTCTGGATTAGCTCTGCCGCTGACTGGGCCTTGAAACAGATTAGTAGTTCCTTGGGGGCACAGCGAATGGAGGCTTCTGCTTTGTCAACAGGCTCTCGTAAGGATCAGATATAGTTAGACACAGTAGCACTCTGCACATGCTGAAGCATTTCCCCCACACACACCCAGCCAGGGTTTCTAGCACAAGCTGAAGTGCAAACGCTGGGCTGGGGATGGACACTGGGCAAGCATGTCTATGTCCTCGTGACATGCTACTGGCCCCACTCCAGGGCAGAACGGAAAATCTCCTTAAAAGCAAATATTTCTAAATAAAGGGAGGGAACCAAATAAAGAACCGCAAGTTACTTCGCTTCCTGTATCCGCTCTTGGACAAAAGGAAGCAGTAGTGTTTTGCTGCTGCAGCTACTTTCTCTCTCAGTCTAGATCCAGAAAATCGTGGGTAAAGATATGTGTGGGGTTTGGATGAGGGAAGAGAGAGGACTCAGGAGCAAAAGCATATGCACTGAATGGTGTAAAAAAAAAAGGCATTTGAAAGTCAGGTGTGGAATCAGAACAGCAAGAGTGTTGAGGTTCAGATTAAGAAACAACACCTATTCACAAAAAGTGCTCATTTTCTGCTTCACTCCAAGCCAGGCTTTCCTCAGGTAGGCTTGCGAGCTGCTGCTGGTAGGCAGAATCACTTTTGGGTGTCCATGCTGTGAGGAAGTGGTGATGGACTATCAGCCCATCTCGTGGCCAGAAACTCTGTTCCTTATTGTTGGATTTCTGCAGTCTCACAACGGGGCTGCCGGCTGTCACCTGGGAATCACTGGCTCCCAAAGCTTATCTGCTGCTTCTTAATAAGGCCTTTATTTATGAAGATTCAGTGGACACCCTCCAATGAGGAAAGAGACGCAAGAGGAAGACTCCACTCCATGATACAGAACCACCTCTCACACCACACCTTAGACACTTGGGTTTAGGAACATACCATCACTGCTAAAAAGCAATGTGTGATTCATTAAGTAACACGTTTGCTGCAAGCTAAAAGGCACGTGTCTGTAATACAGAGGTTTAGAAAATATTTACACAACTGTCCACCAGCCTCCATCCAATGTGCCTCCCAAAGCTTTGCAAAACTGGCCAGGTGTTAAGCGAGACATGTAGTAAAACACTTCTTCACAGCATCCCTAGGGAAAAAATAAAAAAACACAAAGATGGGTCAGATAGTTTAACCTCAAATAACTCCAGCAAGTGGTAAACATCCTCCATTCAGTCGGCTGGGCACATAATGTGAGCAGAAAGAGCCCCACTAGGGGTCAGATCCACTTAACATCAAGCCTCAGCTACCATATTTACTAGTAACATCTTCAGGAAAGTCTGTATCTTGCTTTGAGTTTCAAATTCCTCATTTGTAAAAGGATGCCACCACCTATCCTAAAGACCAGCTATAGAAATTAAGACAGTACATGACAGAGTTGTTGTTGCTGTTAGGTTCTGTTGCGAATAGTCAACAGCGACCTTATGAACAAGAGATCTGAACCCTGTCCTGTCCTGAGCCATCCTCAAAATCTCTAACACACTAGAGCCCACTGCATAGTCAATATGTCAATCCACCTAGCTGAGGGCCTTCCACTCCTTTGCCATCCCTGCCACCTTTCCAAGCGTGATGGCTCTCTCCTAGGAACATATTAGCAATATTCCCAACGTACATGAGATGAAGCTTTATCATTTTTGCCTCCAAAGAACATTCTAGCTGTACTTTTTGCAAGAATAAATGTTTAATAAGGGGTAGTTAGTGAGCATTATAACTAGAGTCCCTTGTTAGTGCAAACCATTAATGCACTCAGACATAGATAAATATTACATGCAAGAGTTCTGTGATCAAATATCATCAAGAAGCAGGTTAAGTAAAATTAGGTAGGTTCCTTGGTGCCAGACTTTCCAAATCTTTTCATAGGTTATGTGCATTATAAACCAGCCCAAGGCAGACAATGTGGTTCACTTCTGCACAGCTTTTTCAGGAACTCTAATGCTATCCAGGTTCAGAGAAAGGAGAAGATCCCCAACAAGAAACAAATGGACTGACAGTGACTGTAACAATGGGCTGGAACTTATCAGAGATGGGGAAGATGGCACAGGACAGGGCGAGGGTCAGATCCACTGTTCACAGGTTCTCTGTGAGTTATAGCCGACTCAATGGCATCTAACAGCAACAACAACACCCAAGAACTGTATTAAAGTACAGTGCCCATTCAGGGGTGATATAATGCTTCATACCACACTTGATAATGTTTTGTTGTCAGTATTTCAAAATTCTCAAGCATTCTGAACAAGAAAATACATTTTCATTTTGCACTGGGTCTCACAAATTAATTAGCTGGTCCTGACACCAAGATATAACATAGATAGAAGATACAAAATAAAATGTTAGCTGGTTGATAAATCTCATTGATTGCTCAAATATCACGAACACAGGCTTACTGCAGATAGAAATCTTATCTTTCAGGCCACGTCTATTCATACTCTTCTCGAGTAAACAAGTAAACAGCCCCCAAAACTGACTGGGTCAATTGAGAGTATTTCTATAGTGTTAATCTCCTACACAATATCCTAAAGCCACCCACTGCCTTCCACTTGATGAGCTTGTCAAGGTCTCATCCATTCACTCTCCAGCACCTTCATGTCAGTCAGCAGCCTGTTTAGGACAGAGGGTATGTAAGACTGCACCATCTTTTGTTTTCTTAGCACAGTTAAAGCAAAGCTTACTTTTAGTTAACAGGCTAATAACAGCCCTAGTTAAAGCCTCAACTGCTAATCCAAAGGTTGGCAGTTTGAATCCACCTAGCAGCTCCATGAAACAAAGAACAAGCAAACTGCTCCCATAACGATTACAACCTTAGCCTCCCCAGCATATTTCAAGGGGGGGAGGTCCGTCCCTTTAAGGATGTAACTTTCTAGTAAATCTATCTTTTAACATTTTAACTTCAAAAGAAAAAAGGACTACAGTCTAGAAAACCTATGGATTAATTATCCATCATATCACAGGGGGTCATTATGAGATGGCACTGGCTCAGGTAGCATCTAACAAGAAGGGTAGAAAATACTAGTTATGCTGTGACAGAGTGGGAGGAAAGACCATGTTGTTTCAGTGAGAGTGCTTATTTTAAAGTAGTTTGAAGGGTCAGAACCTCAAAGCTGCCAGGGGCCTCTTAGATGCTCTGCTTTAACCTGCTCTGTTTGGTACATGCTTTAATATAATGACTGTTTGTTGTCACACTGGTAATTAGGAATCCCTGGTCCTCCAGAGTCCTAGTCCCATCTCCTTGGCCTTTGTCTGAAACTCTCCCATCAGTGAGATATGAAGGGGGATCCCACAAAACACAATTTGATATACCTCCATCTCTTGCTCAGTGACAGTGACCCATTTAAAAAAAAATGCTACTCAGAACTTCAAATTAAAAGATTAAAATAATAATAAAGGCCACAAATGGATTACACATTGCAATAGCTATTTCACAATTTCACTGTATTAGGAAATGGTGGGCCTGAGTCAACCCCCTACCCTATCGTTAGTAGTATAATTTGTTGGGAGTGAATCAGGGTGAGGAGGGACACAGAGAGAAAAGCATCGTGAGTTGGGGAAATAAGGAGCCTTGTTTACTACTCTATAAAACAGACATGCAGCACTTGTCTTAAAGGACTTGAATAAGGATAAAATAGCACTTCTCTGAACTAAAAAACTTCATGCAACCATAATATCATCCACAATTACTGACATTACAGTTCTAAATGTATAGTCTTACCTTGCAAATGGTATGAAGGAAAGGCTGTACCTAAATGAAAACCAAACAAAAGATCAAAACCAATGAAGGGAGCACAAGATTACACCTATTTCTCACCTACCAACAATCTCATTAGCAGACCTTTTGTACCTTCATTCAAGAGTCAAAGAAACCTACTATCTGTTTTGCACATTGATGGCATATTGGTTAGGAATGCTGAGGTGCGATGGTGTAAGAGGAACATAGCTGCGCCATGACTCTAAGTGGTCTGCCAGGTATGTAATGATGTAGTCATTCTCGTTTTTGTGACCGTCTTCCCTTTTTACATGCTAATTTTCCAATAACAACCTGGTCTTTGGAATCTAATTAACTGAGTGTATGCCGTGGAGAGGGTTTCTGACCTGTAAGAGTATCTGTAGTGTTTTACTATGCAAATCCTCTCCCTTCAGACAGCATGTTCACACAGGCACACACATTAACCACCACCCACTATGCCTGATATATGGGTTGGGAGGGGAAGGGACTGTCATCTATGGCTGTAGAGAGATGGCAAGTCTCCCTGTAGAAAAAGCCTCTGTGACTTAATTCTCATCAAGCCACTTCTTTAACCAAATTATCTAGCAATCCCCAAAGCAGGCATATTCCAGCTAGCAGAAGCATATAAACCCTGTTCTAAAATAAAACCCAGATCAGTCAACCGCAAAAGAATATAACTTTAACCCAGTGAGGTAACTTTTACTGCTCTGTTGCTTTTCACTATTTTTTTTAAAAAATAGGGGGGAAAGACCACCAAAAAAAAAAAAAATCAAGAAAACACTACCAACTACTTTATGAATTAATATTTATCAAAGCTATGATTTTTCAAAATCCAAACCCATTGACAGTTTGGTGAAGGCAGTCTGGTTCAGCCAGAAAAGGCCCATGTGGTCTCTAAAGGACCAGGCACAGTGCATCAGGCATAAGGTAGTCAGTACTAACTTACTCATGGAATCCTTACTTTAGCCATGAAATCTAACTATGTTGCTAAGTAAGGAGTCAGTGTATACAGTGGGATGGGCTTCTGAGCTACAAGAGCATCTGCAGGAAATATAGTTGGTTTCAAAGTCATTTTATGCATACCACCATCCATTTGAATGCTAAACCTTTGAAAACCGGCTTCAAAATAGATCTCTAAGCTAAGGAGACAAGGGTCTGGATGTGTGTGAGCCAATTTCTTCACACAAAGGAAAATTAAAATATAACCACGAGCCATCAAACCTCTTTCAGAATCTACTACTAAAATATGCTTATCACATTAACATCAGACCATTATTATTCTTCTCATCTTACAATTAGCATGTACAAAAAAGCTCCTTTATTTATGAACATGGCAAATCTCCAAAGGCATTTTGAATGTACATTCATTCAAATGTCCAGCATTATAAAAGGAGATGAAGTGGGCAAGTTGTTCTCCCCAATAAGAGTGTAAATGATGCTTTAAAGCTTTATACCTTTGATGGTCCACTTCTCTTTACGAATACACATTCTATCAAACCTGTTCCTCTCAAAATAGTCAGGCTGTTTCTACACTGTTCTAGTAGACAGCATCCCATGACAAACGCTGAAATTCTATAGCAATGTCTAAGCAATTAAGAGACCATACCTGCCAGTGCCTCTCTCTTTAGGGAGAGGCCTGGTCCAAAGGGAGTCTCACCTCCAACCCAAAGGCTGTACCTCTCTGGTGGTTCCAATCCACCAGTGGCTCCAAGGGAAAAACAACCAACATCCTCCCGGGCAAATTACAGCCTCCAAAAGCCCACTAAAGGGTCAGCTGTAAGTCAGTTTCAAGGCAGTGAGATAGGTCCGAGTCTGCAGGAACAAGCCTCCTGTCTTTTCACCATGTTTGGCCCTTACGTGTGCATCCCTTTGTCTTCAACTGAATTAGCAATAAATTAACAAGCCACCAGGATATATGCTGACCCTCGCCAGCTTCCCATTTTCTCAGGCACTGTTCTTTTCACCCTGCTGAAGATTCATTTTCTGCACTTCTGCCTAATGACTCATCCCATCACAAGGGTGACACTCTTTCTTACCACTTTCCTTTTTCCTTACTGCCTATTTCAGTCACAAAGCTCTTCATTCCAGCTCTCAGAATACTCTCATTGTCTTGCACTTCCTGGACATGATTGGTTTAATAACATATACAAAAGCCTCTCAAAGTCAACCAGGAGCCCAGAAAACCAGTAGCGGCAGCAAATAAAAAGATTCCCCTGAGCAAAAGACCACTGATGCCATCTATTGGCAGCGGGCCAAGCTGACAGGCTGTGTAGGAGTGTCACGTCGCTGGCATCACTGAGACTGTCCTGGCTTCTTAATCCTTCTGCCTACAGCATGTAAGCCTCTGTCTCCTTCAACTTCCTTGGCCAGAAATCTAATGAGGGAGAAGCTACTGAAAAGGTTACTTACCACGTCATGGCCAGAGACTGCAAAATGCAGAAGATGAGGGCGAGTCCTTTGTTTTTCCACTGCAACAAAAACAGTATCACGACATGAAAACACAAAGTAAGGCAAGCAAACCAAATGCACAAGATTGTTCACGCCAAGCACAAAGTAAGGCCAGCAAACCAAATGCACAAGATTGTTCACGCCATTGTTATTCTTCATGAAACACCCCCCTGCTCCAGTATTGAAATATCCAATTATCAACCCCAAGTAGAATAAAATCATGTGCCATAGTCATATACAGGGATGCTAAATAGCAATAGGAAGAAGCTATTTTTGTTACTATTCACTGTCATCCAACTGACTCTGGCTCACAGTGACCCTATGACCAAACAGATCGATCCTGCCCTAGCCTGGGCCATCTTCACAATACCCGAGAGGCTCAAAGCCACTGATGTCATGTCAATTCATCTCACAGAGGCTCTTCCTCTCTTTCACTGAGCCTCTACCTTTTTTTTATTTTAAATTTATTTTAATGAAAGTTTACAGAGATTTGGGATTTACATTCATTCACTGTTGCACTTTTCTCTCTGCCCACCCCTCCCCACCCCCCCAATTTGCTTTTCTTTTTGAAAATTAAAGGAAAAATTCTTTCACTGTTATTCAATCCCTCCCTCCAAGTCCACTCCACTATGCTACCTTCATTCTGGACTCCTGTCATGACAATAACATCTTATCATATATACCTTTTAAACAATTTTCTCCCTCATCTGTTTCAAGGCAGTATATACTATTTATCCCATCTTCCTCAGTCTCCCCCCAAACCCTATGTCAGCTCTCTTTTATAACAGTGACATTATGCCGTATTTGTCTTTTTGTGACTGAGATATTTCACTCAGCATAATGTCCTTCAGGGCCACTCATTTTGTGTAATATTTCATGAGTTCCTTGTTTTTCAGACCCTCTACCTTTCTAAGCAAACAATTACTTGGTAGGGTATGTACCACTGAGTCAGAACAGCCTCACAGGTGACCTGGCAACAGGTTTTCAGAGGCAATAAATCACACCAGAGGAGACTGCTTTTCCCTGAAGAACAGCTAGTGGATTTGAACCGCATGTCTTTGGGTTGACAACGCAGCTTTTTACCACTGAGCTACCAGAGTTCACTAACAAAATAAATTTTATAAATATGGTCAAAGATAGAAATAAAAAAGCACATACTTTATTGCCTGTTTCAAATATAAGCAACAGTAATCTCTGATATTAGAAAAAGAGCAATGACACCCTATTGAGGGGGTTGTTGTTAGGTGTCCTTGCCTAAACTATAACTGTCACTGTATCAATCACCCATCTCATTGAGGGTCTTCCACTTTCTCTGACCCTCTACCTCCCCCACAATGATATCTCCAGTGATGACTGGGCTAGGACACACTACTATACTAGGAATGTTGCAATCACTTGGTAAAAACGCCTTCAACTATAGCCTTAAGTGGGCACTGTCATACTTCAATTTAAAAGAGAAAGTGTGTATAGCATGTACCATAAATCAGCAAAATTAGGGAAAAATAAAATACACTTACCCAAAAGGCAGAACACAGAGTAAGTACCAAACACAACTAGAATGAGAAATGAAACATTCAATTAATTATCATAATGACAACACAGCAAGAAACAAACAACTCAGGATTACCACAGCAGCCAACCATCTTCTTTCATTATAAAACTCCCTGTCCAAGCACACAACAGGAGACTGGAAATGTCTGATAATAAAATTAACACCCCCGTGCAATCAAACTGACCTGCAGTGCAATCAAACTGATCTGGAAGGAAATTATATAGACTAGGGAAAGAAAGATGCTTATCTTAAAAGTTGACCAGGACTCTGCAAGCAAAATAACATGTCTAATACACCAATTTTTTTTTTTTCAATCAAACATATACTGATGTTTGGCACAACCAATACAAATCTCTCTTGCCAAACACTAGGAAGTCCCTTAGTGCACAGGGTGTACGAGGACAAAGGTTAATAGGAGATGTTATTCTCAAAGTCAGTGTGTCAGTGTGATCTGTTTACATGTCACTTGACACTTCCCCTAGGTCTTATCTTAGAAAGTCCTTTGTAAAGAGCACTGCCAGGTCATCTACATCCTGGGCTGGCTAAGAACAGTGGATGCCTGAGCCATCATTCCTACCTTCCAATCCATGGAATGAACTACTCGACAAGGATGCTTAAGCATTTCCTCTGTGCCCATCACTGTGCCCAAGGTTCTAAAGAGATCTAAAATGGTCACTGTTATTGAGGTCATGTGTCGTCTAGTGAGAGCCAACTCACAGATGACCTTCCAGTGGGTTTTCAGAGCCTGTAAATCGTGTGGAAAGAGACTGCCCACTTTTCTCCCTCAGAACAGCTGGTAGATTCAACTGCATGCCTTTAGGTTGGCAGGGCAACTGCTTGACCACTAGGCTACTAGAGCTCCTATTTGAGCAAATGAAATTAATGATAATATTAAGTTCCAAGTACTGAAACACTGTGCATTGAACACGAGTCTAGAGATCTTTATAATGGTTCAAAGGCAGCTATTCCAACAGAACACAGTCATGATGATGGATCCTGTAGAGAAGAGATGGGCTTCAAGGATACTAATGAAAACATAATAAATACGGCTCCAAGGTCATAACAATGAGGAAAAGAGAACATCTTACAAGGCTGGATAACCAGTCCAAGGAATAAACCCCGTGTTTACAAGTGACACCCTCTAAATTCTGCCTATATGTTTCAATCAGCACCAGCTCGCTTACAATATTATCAATTTAGCAAGTTTGACCAAACACCACCTCTAGAGGTGCTGTAAGGAAGCTCTGGCAGCTTAGTTGTTAAGGAACTGTGCTGCCAACACAAAAGTACATGTTTTGGATCCACCAGCTGTTCCACAGGAGGTAGACAACCTCCTCCTATGCAATTTACTGCTTCTGAAAACCTGCTGGAGAGTCAGCTATGAATCGGTTCCAACTTGACTGTACACCATCACCACCGTAACAACAGAGGTGCTCTCCAAAGCTAAACAGGCAATACCAAGCACCAGTGGAAACAGGAAAGGGGTCATTACTAAACGAAGAACGTTCTCTTTCACAGTGATGTAAAAATGTAGCAGTAAGTCAAGAGGAAAAAAAAGAGGTTCTTGTGTGGGATATTTTTAAAGCTTTATTGTGATTTGGGTAAATGTTTACAGAGTAGATTGATTTTCTATTCAATCATTCACTCAGTTTATTTTATGAAAGAAATTCATCCTTAGTTTTAAGAGGGGAAAAAATTTCCGTACAGAAGAAATAAAAGCTTCCAGTCTTAGCAGCCCAGCTAAAAGGAGATCTTACCAGCATCACAATGGTTGCTATTAAACGTGTAGGCTCAAACATTCGCTTTAACTGTTTCATTGGTCCCATGAGGAAGATGGTGCTGAGAAAAAACACACACGTTATTCAGAACAGAACTACAATTAGGCACACTGCATCAATTCTCTACTGGCTCCCCACGATTACCCGTGGCAATTATAGCAGCTGAAACTTGACAAGCTCTTACTCTGTGCCAGGCACTGTGTTTAGGGCTTTCTGTGCTCATCTAACCCAATCACCTCAGTGGTAGGAACAAGTACTATATGATTTTACAGAGGAAGAAGCTCAAGTCCAGAGGGACTAGTTATTTATCTGTGGCCACTTACAGGTAGGCTACAAGTGCATGCTGGCACTATGCAGAAACCACTGCCTCACTCTTTTGAGAGTCACCTGCATGACAATCTAACCATGGAAACAAGTAAGTCAAAAGTGAGCTCAAGTAACTCACGTTTTAAAGGTTTATACTTTTAAAAGTACAGTATTTTGGTTTTCTTTATGAATAATTCTTTGTTTTTTCTTTTTATTTGAGTGAAGGTTTACAAATCATATTGGTTTTTCATGCAATCATTCACAGCCATTTGTTTTAGGGGTTTTTTTCTACTTTATTTTTTGTTATTTTTCTTTTGTTTTCTTGTTCTATTTTTTTGTTGTTGTTGTTAGTCACTTTGTTTTATTCCTAGCCATCAGTCAATAATGTCTAATCAATCCCTTTTAGCATATTACCTTTTCCTTTACCCAACTTAACTATTTATTCATTTTCATAAGTAATTCTGATAATAATATGGCCTATTATTTGCTGAGACCTCTAATGACCTAGTAAGTAAGAAATTGCCCAGCCAATCTAAAACAAAAGTTCAAATCCATCAGATGCTTCACTGGAAAAGATGGACAATCTCCTGCCATGTGATTTACAGCCTCTGAAAACCACTGAAGGGTCAGCTATAAGTCAGTTCCAACTCCACAGCAAATTAATAACATCATTTAATGATTTTCCTAAATGCCAGCTAATCAGGGAAATTACCTCATTTCTTTCCCTCAACAATCCAGAGTCAAATATTCTTACACTTATTTTAGAGATGGAAAGCGGAAACTTATACGAGGTCAGAAAGCTAGGAATTCAAAGAGCCTGCACTCAAAACTCATTCTGATTAGATATCAAAGCTCTGAAGCATGTCACCAGAGTGCATCCTATTATGAATAATCCTTAGAGAAGTAGGCAGACACACCTAACACAAGCCCTAAAGGAAGAAGATTTCAATACGAGAGGGAAGAGGGTAATCAGGAAAATATTCAAAGAGGGGACTTTAGCACAAAGTCTTGACTCTTGACAAATGAACAAGTACACGCAGGGGAAGTGCCTATGGGTGGCACTGTGGACAGGAGCCTTTATAAAGGCACAAAGACGGGAGGGGAAATCCAAGCTCAGCCTGGCTAGGAAGCAAAATTGGGGTGAAGCTCAATCTCAAAGGATCTCTCATAAACACTGGAAAGTTTAAACTTCACTTGCAGAGAAGGAACAGGGAGCCCCTGAAAGGGGTTAAACCAACTGCCAGGGAGCCTATTCTGACACACAGAGGCACTAGAGGACAGAGCAGAACTTCAACATGGGGTTTCCACAGGAGAAGCAGACTGCCATAGCACCCTCCCACAGAGCAGCTGGTGGGTTCAAATTACCAAGCCTCCAGTCAGCAGCCAAAAGTGCCATAACCAGTGCATCACCACAGCTCCCAAATAGGGTTAAGAGGGTGGTAAATGAGGCCCTAAACTGGAGGAGAAAGATGATGAAAGGGAGGAAAATGAGAGGTGACACTAACTACACCTGAGACCCACCCCCCTCAGGTATAGCCTTCTCTAAGAAGTCATCTCTGACTTCTCCGATTAGGTGAGATGTCCCTCCCTGAGCATAATTTCAGGTCACATCCTATCGTCATGCACATGTCTATCTGCACTGCATACCAGGAAGTGCCACTGCAGCAAGGACCACACCTTACTTGGCCTTAAAGTCTGAGACCAGAATCAAACTAAAATGTCACTGCCAACAAGTCAACTCTAGCTCAGAGCGACCCCTACAGGACAGAGTCAAACTGCTCCATTGGGTTTCCCAGGTTAGAACTTTTTTTACCTTACACCAACATTTTTAATGTAGAAGTGTGTATGCTGTTGTTGTTGTTGTTGCTATTAAGTATCTACAAGTGGGAACCAGCTCATAGCTGATCTTACAGTGGGCTTTTACAGGCAGTAAATTACAAGAGAATTGACTGCCCATCTTTCACCAACAAAGCAGCTGGTGGATTCAAATAGTGTACCACTGGAATGACAGTGCAACTGCTTACCACTAAGCCACCAGGGCTCCCTGTACACTAAGGAATGAGAGGAAACGCAGGCATTAAAAACCAGAAATGTATCTAACAATTTCATACACAGTCATCATTGCTTATGTGTGCACTTCTATGTGCATATCCACACCAACCCCAGAAATAAATTCTGCATAGTTGTCCTATCTTTATTTCTCTATGTATTCTGAGGCTCTGGCTGACCCTCCAACTCCTTCTATTATTACTCATTTAGTATTGCTTTTGCCTTCCCAAGCTATAACTCTTAATGGAGCAGACTGCCTCATCTTTCCCTTGCAGAATGGCTGGTGGGTTCAAACTGCTGACTTGCAGTTAGCAGCCCAGCACTGAAGCCATCTAATCATCAGGCTCTTAAAGAACAAGAACAACAAAGTGTGACAAATGCTTTCTAATGAGTGTATGAGTCAATTAGAAAGTAATAGTCACCATGGGGACAGAGCTAGGTAAGAAGTTAATAAGCCATAGCGGTCTTTTTCACCATCTTGAACAAGGCCATATTGGCTGGCTATACACAGGGTCTCCTGAAACAGAGGAAGCACATAGGTCTTCCTGTAAATGAAAGTGTTTATACCACGGACTACTAACAAAACAAACAGGTCCATCCTGGAGAGAGTGAAACCAGGCTGCTCCTTGGAGGCAGAGTCTGAAGCTCTGTCCAACATACTTTGGGCATGTTGCAAGGAGGGACCAGTCCTTGGAGAAGAACATTATGCTTAGAAGGGTGGAGGGACAGAGAAGAAAGGAAAACCCTGGTTGAGATGGACGGACTCGGTGACTGTGGCATAATGGGGGTACGTGTCTAAGACAATGAAGTTGGCTCAAGACAGAGAACATCTTAGAGCTGTTGTACACTGGGTGGCTATGAGTCAGAGTTGACACAACACTACATAAGAACAACATGCCTAAGATTAAACTGATCTGTAATTCAAGAGATGGACTTGTGCACACAAAGCAAAGAACATCACAGTGACTCCTGAAAGCAAGTCCAACAAAATGCTTCAAATTCTGAAGCATTCTTTCCGTCAAGACTAATGTTGCTGTTAAGTGCCGTCGAGTCACAGGCGACTCATAGCGACCCTATGAAGGAGAGTCCTTGACGCTTGGGTGCCTTTCATCCCCTCTCCAAGTTCATAGGGTTTCCGGAGGCAAGCTATTATGGAAGTGGACGCCACTCCTCCTTCCACGCTTGTTCAATCGGGGAGCTCCACCCCACTCTCAGTCCGCATTGTAGCCAACCATTAACGCATTTGACACATCCGTGTCACAGTGTTCAGCCTCACAGCAACCACAAGTGACCATGGGACAGCAACTTGTACACCAGGGCTATACGACCTAGAGGAATGTCTGAACAAAAACAATGAAAGACTGTCCTGAGGGCTGCGAACTAAAAGTCACCCACCTTTGTGTCAAGACTAATAGCACACTATTAATCAGAAGCCTCAGATCAATGTAATCCCAGATGCTTAACCAGCTGTGTAAATCCATGCTTTCTTATTAACCGCTCCGTATTCTATGGCATATAAATTCAATGATTTACTAGATTCTCCAGAGACTCAAACCCATCAGGGGAATGACTTAATGTGAATGTAGGTATGCAGGCAAACAGGTTTCTTTAGAAACTGATGTGCAAAGGATGAGGGCAGATGCAGAAGGATGCAGTCGTGCTGCCACTCCTGTGTTGGTGTTTTCATAAACACACCCCAGTGTGAAGAGTGCTCTTTTTATATTGACCCTGCAGCTTTCGCTGATTTGCGCGACCACCCATTTGCAATTAAGGTAGATGGAGACCAGAGGGAGCTAAGGTAATGGCTTTAAAAAGCCAACTTTGAGCTAACAACTCACAAGGCCAATGGATATACATTCTAAACAATGCTATATTCTTCAAGTGTTTAACATCAATGAAAATTAAGTAAATGAAACTGTTAGTTTGTTAAATAAATAAGTCACAGTGAGGAATCAAGTGGAAGGGAGCCTGGACTTCCAAATCTCTAAGGCCACTCATTGAGCTACATGAGAAGAAAAGATGATGGAGTTCTGGTTCCTGCAGGGAATTCAGGCTGGAAAGGCAGAAGCAGAGCCATCAGTATGCAGGTAGAGGTGAAGCAATGAATGTAAACGAGCTTGACTTGGGATACCACAAGCATTCAACAAGTGGGACAGAGTGCCCACACCTAGGAAGCACTCCACAAGACTCTGTACATAACCCAGCAGATACTCACTCCCCAGACAGTCTCAAACTAGTAATAACAAGGTTCAGCCACAATCATTAGCCTGGTGAGCTCTTCTGAAGTCATCAAACTGGTCTCTGACAGTGATGAAAGGATGACGAAGCAGAGAGTTGTGTTGTATTGTAAACCCTGAAGTTATTCAACGCCTCTGTACTTCAGTTCTGATCTATGTAAAATCATTCTTAGTAATATAATTCCTGCTTTTTCCAGGGGAGAAAGATAAACTAAGGTGTAAAAATGTTTTAAATGCTAAGATATCAATTCAATGTATTTAACAGCCTCTTCTCTCTCAAAATCTTTAAAACTGGTAGATCATCTTCCTTTGCCTCCCCCAAACCCAAGACACATCCATTTCCCCACCTAATAACTGGTCTTAGCTGGAAGAAAAAGAAATTGTTACCTCCCCAAACCCAAGCCACATCCATTTCCCCACCTAATAACTGGTCTTAGCTGGAAGAAAAAGAAAATGTTACCTCCCAAGTGATGCGATGTTACCGAAGGTATAAAACACTATGAAAAGGACTAGTCCCTTGCGAGGAACCCACAGCAGAAGAGTACCCTGCAAGTTAAAGAGAGTTTGCATGTGAACAACGTTTGTACCACGGCCACAAGACAAAACTCACAAAGAAAACCCAAGGAACCTCTACTTCCCTCTCCCTACCTCCTTCTTCCCTTATCCAGGCATCTCGGTGATGATCAAAGTAGGCAGATAAAAGGGAGATAAACTTTACCGAGGGCAGGGGAAACAACAGAAGAGTGGAAGGATGCCTTACCAGCAGTGAGCAGAGAATTCCTGTAACAAAACACGCAATGAAGCCTTTTATTCTGGTGCCCCAGCTTAACGAAGATGCCTCAACAACCTGAAATACATTTAAAAAAATAAAATTACATATATAAATATGCATATTTAAGTAACAAAATCAACGAGGCTCATAATGAAATTCTGAAGCAGTTGTTGAATTTATACTGAGGAAAGCAGGGGACTCAGAATCCAAGACAATCAGAGGTACAACAGACCTCACAAGAGGCAGAACACAGGTCCTTTACCCATATACAAGGACTCCTTACTGGCTGCTCCAGAGTCAACCTCGCCTCTGCTTGAACATTCTGGAGGTGGAAACCTCCAGCCTCAACACAGTCCATTTCACAAAAGGAAGACAAGACAGTAGATTCTAGAGCAAGCCAAAGCCTCACCACAGTCCAGTCAGGAGGAAGACAACTGGAAAGGCATGCGCTCCGCTCAGGCAATTCAGTCCACTGGTTGACCCCCCACTTCAAGCAACAGCAACAGTTCTAGGTTCCACACAGCATTTCTGGGACCTCAAAGGGTTGATCCTCACATCTTTGCAGGACTCTCATTCGCATCATTTACTCTTGGTGCAAATGTACTTACAGGGTGCTACCATGAAGTCCCCAGGAGGCTTAGTGGTAAGGAATTGTGCTGCCAATCCAAAGGTATGTGGTTCAAATCTACTAGCTGCTCCACAGGAGAAAGATAAGTAATCTTATGTGATTTACAGCTCTGAAATCCCACTGGAGGGTCAGTTATGAGTCAGTTCTGACTTAACATTAATAACCACCCTCCTCATGAGTCCAGTCATACAAGCGTGAAACAAATCCTAATAATTGACCATTATTCCAAGCTGCTTCTCTCATCATGCTTAATCCCTCTTCAGAGTAAAGTTCAAAGAAAAGTTATTTAAAAAAAAAATCTAAAACTCTTACTAACACTGGCCTAGAGCCCATGGGTATCTCCCTATGATTTTCTCCTACTCAGAGATGACAACCAAGTATCTGCATCAGAGGCCTTCTGTTCACACGGTGCAAGTGGGCACAGCTGCTGCTCTGAGCTGGGACTGGGCAGCTGCCACTGAAGGGCAGGCCAGGCCCAGTGTACCTGGTCATATGGCTCATTGTGTGTGGCCATCACAGCCTCTATCCAGTAGCATGATGAGAGCTGCCCACATTTCCATCCAGCTGGTGGCACACGGTATGCGGTGACAGAGGCTGCAAGAAGCACCAGGCAGGCAACTCCCTCAGCCTTGCCTGTCCCCTACTCAGGGTCTTGTTTTCAGTCCTGTTTCCAAGTGCTCCATCACATCAGAAGCTGAAAGAGGACGGGAGCTTCCCCAAGGTCTGGATTAAGAATCCACAGGGGACAGGTTAGGTTACCCAAAGGGCTTACTTCACACTCCACTTAATACATAAAATTGGGTTTGTGACACTGGAACCTACACAATACTTTCCTTATCATGTGACCCTGCACAGGAAGGCGCAATCAGGAAGGGTGACCTGAGTAGTGAGGAGAGAGGTAGCCTGGCAAATGGAGTACTTGGCTTCACATCAAGGAAAACCTCTTTCCTTAAGATTACCTAACCCCTCAGGCAGGGCCTTCCAAACTGAGCAATGTGATGCTGGGATCCGGCTTTACTGGCATCCAGACAATCAGGTTAGTCACTTCTGACTAGCCTTAGCCTCCCATCAAAGGAAGAAGAAAACCAAAAGTCAATGCCTGATCACTACTCAGAATCAACAGAGCTATTCAGAAAGATTCCACTTTTTTTCTTTTAAGAGAGAATAAACCAAATGAGCACTGCCTTAAATGCATTGTATTATATGCACTAAAGGGGATATAGTCAACAGGATGGTGCTTTTTCAGCCTTTATAAAAATCAAAATCACCAGCAATAGGAAACACCTGCAGCAAAAATATGTTTTCAGGTTCAACCTTCAGATAGGACAGCAACACTGATACTGCAAGTTTCTTAAGCGTTATCCTTTTCATCAAAAAAAGAAAAGGGTTCCTTTTCACTGAGGCTTTACATTCTGGTGGTGAGTTCTTTCACATGGACTTGGTCACAGGCAGGAGGAAGCAGCTGTTCCTCTTCTCCTAACTGGTCTCAAACAGTTATGACAACAAACTCCACTGACATGAAATGTCTCTCTAAGTTCCTGGTTGCTGGAAGATGTACTAGTGCACTTTCTGGAGATTGTTGTTATGTGCTATCGAGTTGGAAGTGACTCAAGGCTGACCCTGCAGTGGTTTTTCAGAGACTGCAAATCACATGGAAGGTGACTGCCCAACCTTCTCCCTGAGAGTTGCTGGTGGATTTGAACTGCTAGCCTCTGGGTTAGAGGCACAACTTCTTACTCACTAGGTCACCAGAGTGCCCTTTACGGAAATCAGAGTAGATAAAACTGTCCTTGGGTAGATTGGCTGGCTGACTGGCAGTTATGCACAAAAGTCTCTGACTCCAGGATACAGAGAGAAAAGGAGGGATCCTTGCCAAAAAAAAAGTAAAGCTAAGAAACAAGAGTTGGTAAGCAGAAGGTGAGACAGGAATGCTGCTTTATTCCTGTGCTTGAAAATTAAGCTTCAATCATACCTTCCTTGGGCTAGCATGCTTCATTAAAAAAACAGAAAACCTACACTTTCAAAAAAGGAAGTCTATTAAAACAAAAGCTCTAAAGTGTGTTTATAGGGAAAAGGTAGCAATTAGAAAACTCATCACGGAAAAAAAAATATTAAAAAAAATATATAAAAAAAAAAAAAAGAAAACTCATCATGAAGCCACCCTATACACAGAGATTTACAAGCAATTTTTTAAAAACATCTAATACATATGTAGGAGAAACAAAACTAGCATATTTTTAAGGTTTCCATGAAAAGATTTTTTTTATTTTTATATTAATTCTGAAGATATGTGAAGTCCAGAATAGGTGTCTGGTCAAAATACGAATTTGTATGTTTATTACTGCTTTGCTCACAATAGCAAAGAGGTAGAAATCAACCCAAGTGTCCATCAACAAACAAATGGATAGAAAAGCTGTGGTATAGTCATACAATGGAATACTATGCAGCATTGAAAAGCAAAGAACTCATGAAATATTATACAAAATGGGTGACCCTGGAGGACATTATGTTGAGTGAAATATCTCAGACACAAAGGGACAAATACTGCATAATGTCACTGTTATAAAACAGGACTGACATCAGGGTTGGGGGAAAACTAAGAAAAGGGAGGATAAATAATGTACACTGCATTGAAACAGATGAGGGAGAGAAGTGTTTAAGAGGGATATATAATTAGGTATTATCTGCATGACAAGAGTCCAAAATAAGAGCTGCATAGTAAAGTGGAGGGTGGGGGGTGGAAATGTTTTGGGGGGGTTCTTTTCAAAGAGAAAAGATAATTTGGGGGAGGGCTGTGCAGGGAGGAAAATGTGCAATAATGAATGAATAGAAATTAAAAAAAAAAAAACAATCCTCCAGCCTTGCCAGTCTCAAGACCCCAGGCAATGTGAAATAATCGAGCTAGTACAAACATGTTTTTAAGTCTCTCAACTTAACATATAAACTGAAGCCAGAAGGAACCCTGAAAACTAATTCAGCTAGCTACAAAATGCTTTCCAGAAGTTCAAGATTCTGAACGGGCCCCACAATGATGTACATAAACAGGTACCTATTTACAGAAAGAGGATGTTGACAGGATTTTAGATTAAGCAAGAAGTACTTATTTTTTTAATTCTTTTTTTTTTCTTACTCACTTAAAAACAGATTTAAAATAGGAGCTTGAAAGAAGTCCTGGTGAAACTGTGTAACATCAGTGGTTCAAATCCATCAGTCCTGCCAAAGAAGAAAAATGGGTAGCCTGCTCCCATAAAGGTCATCCTCAGGAACCTGACAGAAGGTCACCAGGAGTCAGAATCAATTAAAAACCAATGGGTTGGGTTGGGATTTGAGCCTGTAACACTTCAAAGCCCTTCACTCTGGCCAACACAGGCAATCAGTATTTAGGCAAAGTGATGTAAACATTTGTTTTTAATTTGTACATCATTCATTCTTAAGGATCTATCACTGTGTCATGATTTCCTAAATATATCCTACTATCAGCCCACTCCCAAACCCCACCTCCAAGAGTCTTAAAGAAGAGATAGTGTACTTCTTAAACCTCAAATGCTCAGGACCTTGCTGTCAACTCTCAACTCACCCACCGCTCAGAGTCAGAACCACCTAACAGTCAGCGACCTCCAGGGGGTTACTCATTAATCATCGCCAATTAGTAAGGACAGCAAAGTAAGGAGAACCTATAGAACTTCTGAAATGTCAAACATACATGTGTGTGTAGGTATACACAGAACCTGAATTCCCACAACATAGGCTTCCTATAGTCTCATTACTTCACAGTGACAAGTAAGGGAACAAGTTTTACAGTTTAGAAAGTCCATGGAGAAGCTAAAGGCTTCACAAACAAAACAGCCAAAGAATAAAACCTGGATCCTCAAATATGGGTCAAAGAAGCATGGTTAAGAAACTAGGAGAGACACTGCAAAGTTGTGGAAGAACTTCTCATCACCCTCATTTTACAGGGAGGGAAAGTAAAACCTAAAGAACATTGTCAAAAAGCAAAGGGAAACGTCATTGTTTCACCAGCGAAGGCAAACAAAAGAAAACGCTGGACGCATCCAAAAATAGGAAATAAAATGATCCTGCATAGTTCTAGAAACAGAATCAGGACACGAGATGCGACATTTTTGCTAGATCAGAAGCTTTCTGGTAAGCACAACAGTCATACAAGCTTGTAGGCTGAGGTCCCAAGTGTCTCCAGAGACTTTAGTGGGGGAAGTGAAGACGCAGAGCAACAACATGTGGTTCCCGCACTCGATGAGTCCACGGTTTCTCGGTGGATAGGATTCTACAACAAAGTGATGTGCACAAGACCGGTGGGAGTGTCACACTCCACTACGCAGCCTGGGCAGTGACCGGGCACGGGACACGGGGGCTGGGCAGCAGGCGCCACTGCCCGCCTGGTCTGCAGGGCTGCTGGGGCCCACAGCAGGCGCCGCCTGTCGCCCACCGGCCCAGATAGCAGGGGTTTCGACTCCCACAACGTCTTCTCCAGCGGAGAAAGAAGGAGGGGCGGGGGCCGAGGTGGAAGGGCTGAGAAGGCGCTGCACAAAGGAGTAAACAGTCTCCAGCCAGGGTGCAAAGTGCTGCGCCCAAGCGGCGGGACTGGGGCCCTCGAGGACCTGCAGGGGAAGACGGAAAGAAGAAGGGCTGCTTTCTAAGAAATTCTGCGAATCCTGCTTGGCGTCCCAGCCGCCATCAACAGGCGCTGGCGGAGGGTCATAGATGCCCGGACGCGACAGCCACAGCGCCCTCGGTGTCCGCAGAACCCCGGGCGGTGGGCGGCGCAGAGACCTCGGCAGAGGGCGCGGGGCGAGACGGGGCCGCGTGCGCCGGACGCACTCACCTCCGACAGGCCGCCCCGGTCCTCGGCGTCCTGCCCGCTCAGCACCTTCTTGAGCTTGTCCATCCCGGGTCTGGCGGCGTCGCCCCTCGCCCGCCACCTGTTGCGCTCGCTAACTCCACCGCTCTTCCGGGTGCTCTGCCCCGTCCCCGGCGCCCCGCCCCCAGACGCGGCGCGCTCCGCCCAGGTACCTGCCCACCTGGGCCCGGCCAGCACCCGGCATGCCCCGCGCGAAGCCGCCTGCTTTGCTGCTTTTGGTGTTAACCGGCTCCTGTTAGTTTTGGGAGGTGGTCAAGCTGGGAGAGTCGGGGGTAAAGGTCACCCAAAAAAGGCTTGGCGCCAAGTGTGCATACTGCAGGTCGGCTCAGCCCGAAGTGGCTGCCCTCACGGATCTTCTGTGATTCGCTCTACAAATGCCGAGTGCACGCGTGTGTGCACTAGAGAAACAAAAGACTGGCGCGGTGGTCCCGCTTGAGGGCCAATTCACATCGCACTCTGCAGACGCTTTTTAAAAAAAAAAAAAAATCGCTTACTACTACAGTGACTTTAACCTGTAACAGAGTTCGGCGGAAACTAAAACAAACTAAATTCCACTTGTTGTTATGTGCTGTCGAATCGCTTGTGACTCATAGCGACCCTATGTACAAGAACCCTAAACACTGCTCTATCCTGTGCCAACCTCTCCAACACACTCATTCCCACCACGCCAATCATAGAATCGATCCATCTTATCGAGGGTCTTCCTCTCCTGCGCCGTCCCTCCACTTTCCCAAACATGATGTCCCTCTCCGAGGACCAGTCCCTCCTTGCAACATGCCCAAAGTATGTCAGACGAAGCCTCAGAATCCTTGACTCCAAGGAGCATTCCGGCTTCACATTCTCCAGGACAAACCTGTTTGTTCTCCTAGCAGTCCATGGTATATTCAACACTCTTCTCCAGCACCACAGCTCAAAGGCATCAATTCTCTATCATCCCTATTCATTGTCCAACTCTCTGATGATGCATTGCACGTAATTGTGAAGACTAGCCTGGTCAGGCGCACCTTAGTCTCCAGCCCGACGTCATTGCTCTTCAGTACTCTTGAGAGGTCCCTCACAGCTGACTTTCCCAATGCATTTGTCTCTTGATTTCCTGGTTGCTGGTGCCAAGAATGTTGACTGTGGAGCCAAGTAAACTAAAACTATTAACTATCTGGATCTCTCCAACATCCATAATGATGCTACCAATTGGCCCAGGGGTGAGAATCTTTGTTTTCTTGATGTTGACTAGAAGGTGGAAGAAACGGGATTTGAGCAACATCTTGAACATCTTGAATGAGATTTGAGCAACATCTTGAACAAGCTGTAAGAACAAAGCTATAAGGAAAAAATAACAGGTTATTTTGAATAGCTTGTTTTACTGACCTCAAACCAGTTGTAACAATTCTTCCTTGGAAAATCTATTTACCCATGTAAATCTCTATATGGAGTCAGAGAACACTAGTTCAAATACAAAATTCTTTTTGAGAATGTCTGAAGAAAAACCCTGAGAGACTCAGGTGCACCCAACAACAGTGTCAGTTACATACAGCCTCTCCTTCCTTCCCCCTCCCCTACTCCCTGTCCTGACACACACAACTGGCATCAGTTAGGAAAACTAGGAATGCAGTGTCTGAAATGGAGACAATTTGAGTGTCTCCAAATGTTTGCTTGTTTAAAATTCTATAAACCAAGTAAGGGAATTAACACAGGATCCTATTCAAGTGGCTTATAAGGCTAATAGTGATAGGTGATACCATCTTAATGAAAACTCAAACATGTCTTGCTTTGTAATTTTAATTGGCACTCTACTTTGAATAGAAAACCGGTGGAATTGTCCTGTCAGCCCTAAGGCATGTGGTTCAAATCCACCAGCCACTGCACAGGAGAAAAATGTGCAGTCAACTCTCATGTGATTTACTGCTTCTGAAAACTCCACAGAGGGTCAGCTACGTCCCCGCTACTTGACTATACACAATAACTTTGAATAGGGAGTCCCTGTGAGGACCTGCATTGCAAACACAAAGCCAGCAAGTTAGATTCAAATCCATCAGTTGGCCTGCCTCTGAAAACTTCCTGGAGGGTCTGCTGTAAGTCGGTTCTGACTTGACCATACACAACCATCTTGAAGAGCAAAAACAGCTCAGGGAGTGAGTTCTTTTGAGCTGTTAACCAGAAAATCAAAAGGCTGGTGGTTCAAATCTACCAGCTTCTCCGATTGATCCATCAGCTGTGGGTTTGGTTTTCTTTTGGTTTGGCTTTGGGTTTTAACTTTGAATAACAAATACTTTTGCTTCCGCTTTTGCTTGAGGGATACTCCACCTTGTCCCTCTTATTTCATGCAGGGAAATTCACATTTGCTTTTCAAGATTTTTTCAAATATTAGGATATAGTAGAAAGATTACCCACATAGAATAATTAGAAGTTGCAACCCTCTTACCACTCCTTACTGATTGATGGCATTGATCAGTTTAGTTAATCTTTCTATCTTAGTTTTCCAGAATGCCATATGAAAATAGCACAAACTGGGTGTCTTTAAAAAAAACAGAAATGAATTATCTTACGGTTCTACAGACTAGAGGTCCAAGGATGTCAGCCTTGCTATTTCTTCTGGAGCACAGGAAAAGAAGCTGTGCTAGCCTCTCTCCTCACTGATGGTAATACCAAACATGCTTAGGTGTTCCTTGGCTTATAGACAGACCTTCGCAAAGAGTCTTCCCCCTGTACCTCTGTGTCTGTATTTCTCAGACACCATTCAGGTTGGATTATGAAGTCATGCCCTACTCTAGTATGTCCTTATTTTACTAACTGATAATATATCGAAAATCCTGTTCACACAAGTCACATTCACAAGTATAGTCCTTAAACATTTATTTTGAGGGAACACAATTCAGTCCACTGGCCTCCAACTTCCTCACCGGTACAATAAGCACTAGTGGCCACTTTTGGAAGTTACTGTGTTTGTGATAATGTGTCATAGAGTTGGAACTGACTCAAAGCTGACCTTCTAATGGGTTTTCAGAAGCTATAAATCACAGGGGAGTAGACTGTCCATTTTTCTTCAGCACCAATGAGAAAACATTGAATCTGCTTTTGCAAGTGTATGAACCATAGCAGGCAGATGGGCAAACAGGGCAACAATAAAAATGGCTGCATAAGTCAGCAGGAAAAGCTGTGTTTTGTCAACAGAGATAGAGTTCCTTTGAAGATCAGCCCCTGTCTCTTTGCACTTATCACAGAAAATTGTATTTTGACTAGAAAGATTGTATTTATAGTCTATCCTTCTGGTCTCAAAGCAGTATTGCTCCAAAAGATGAGAGTCACCTCTGCCCTTGGTCCATGCTGTAGTTATTGATAGGTGCCAGTGAGTTGGCTGTGACTCACAGCGCCCCTATGAATGTCAGGCCTGAACCGTGCTGTGTCCTGCTCCATCCTCGCCATCTCTGGTTAGCTCGAGCCCACTGTTATATAGCCAATGTGGAGATTCATCTTGTTGAGGGTCTTCCTATCTTGCTCTGGCCTTTCCCAGCAGATTTGGATTTAGTTTATTGGGGTTTTGTTGTTGTTGTTGTGTTCACCAAGGAATGGCCCTTTCTGACAACATGATGTGTGAGATTACCTATCACCACCCTTTCCTCTAAGGAGCACTCTCACGGCACTTTCTACAAGGCCTGTTTGGTTTTTTGGCAGTCCATGGAATATTCAACGCCCTTGGCCAGCATTACAATTCAAAGGCATCAATTCTTCTTTGGTCTTCCTTATTCAACTTCCTTTTCCAACTTTCACAATCATAGGAAGCAATTGAAAATGCTTTAGAGGACCCTGCATATCACACACACACACACACACACACACACACACACACCCCATACTAAAGAATCCATGGACATCTCTGTTACTTGGGTCCTTACACTTGACTCTGAGATGTGCACAGCAGGAAACACCACCTCTCATGACTAACTTTGTTCAGGGACCAGGGAACTATTTCTGCTCATCCCTTGTCCCACATCCTTGAAACAAGAAACAACTACAAGCTGAAGTTTTGAGGGTTGTGAGCATGCCACTCCCAATGGAGAAAACTACTGATTCAGATTGTGAGTGGGATTTGAACAATGCAAATGCCTAGGGAGAAGAAAGGATAATTTAACTTGTCAAATCTGATCCTTTTTTGCAGATAGTTTGATTGCAGTAGATTCATACAGAACAGCATACCACATCCCTGAATATCAAGAATTATTGTTTCTTGTCATGCTCTAATTTCAGCTTCCAGAGGGACTCACAAATTAGTGCAGTATTTGCAACTGTTCACATGAAGACAGAGGAACATTTTACAATGCTAATTTATATTGCTCTTAACTTGTATCTGAATAGGTCTATGTGAACCATACATGAAACATGACACTGATTCTTGGACATTGAACACTAGACTCAAAACAGCTTTTTAACAAATATATTTCTATAAATGTTCATTAACATTTTTTAAAAGGCAAATAAAAATAGTTAGCTATATTTAAATAATTTCTCTAACATCTGTTAATTATCTTTTCCTTTAATTTTAGTAGATGATTTTTAGTTCTTTTTCAAGAACAACTTTTTTAAAACATAAAAAATAAATTATTTTCTTTTGGAATTTATTTTCTATTGTTATACTATATTTCTATTTCGCAATAACAATTATATCCTGCCAACTTCCACATTTGCCAGTTTCCAGCCATTTGAAAATCATTACTTTAAATGTGTGTCTCAAGGTAGAAGGATAGAACATAATTTACTTAACTGAATGTTTATCTTGATTTATAACTATTGACTGTTTAGACCCACAACATGTGTCTCTCCATTTGTACTTTTCTCCAGATCCCACAGATCTTAGGAACAAATTTGCCTCTCAGTGGCCTAATCAAAGGACCTTGCGATGCCTAAGGAAAATGCCAGCTGAGTTCAAGATGTAGAAATGTGAGGAAAATTTTCTGGGTTTGAGTAGAAACTAATAAAGCAGCTTCAGTGCAGTCTTGGTATTCAAATACTAAGAAAACTACCCTCCGATGGCC